GCATTGTACTCCTGTCTCTATCCCTGATCGGTACGTGCGCCCGTGGTAATTCGTTGTAAACAAGAAACGATTATTTTATACAGCCACCGTTCGGCATAATTGTTGTATTATATTATGTTTGTAATGGCGTGTCATTGCGTTCGGCATGCAAACCGAATTGTCCTGGAGAGTATTTAAATCGTATACATTGCTGTAGCGCGGTCTAGACTCTAGATTCGCCGTGCGCCGGTTAGGTTCGATCGTTGTATTTCCGTAATGTATAAATACGCCGTAAACAACATAAATCCATAACCGTTTCTAAATCCGCAACCGATTTGAATACTCGCGGAAACAACCTCGTCGTCGGACTTGCAATATTTGTCTTGTCTCGTTTCGCGGCCGTCGTCCGTAGGTACTCGCGAATCGCGATTGTTCAGACGACCGAGGAGTACTAACGGTGGAAAAGCTATCCGAGAATGGAAAACAGATTGGAGAATAATAGGTCATTGTGCTATACAATGCAGATAATGTACGCGAATACACGCTTTAGTATACGGACTATATTGTGTATACATTAAAACGCGAAATAAGTGTTTTTCGGATAATATTTCGAGAGATTTTTTTTTTTTTGTTTTGTTTTGTTCTTAAACATTTTAATACAGAAATAGCACTCCGTGGGGTTCAAACACATCGCGAGAATAAAAAATATTCGCCACTTAAAACGGAAACGAAAAAAAACTCCTCCGCGTTCTTTCTTCGGCGCGTTTAATCGGATTTTACACGATTAGTCAAATAGACCGGGAATGATGGACGGAGTTTTCTTTTTACTTTGTAATTAATTGTTATCGCATATTATACTTGATGATAGATTCTGAGCAAAGTGTACAATTCATGGCATTTCGCTTTTTTACAATCTTCCGATTAACGTGGACAAATTCTTTTGACTCAATAAAAATACTCAAGACGGAATACACGAACAATATCATGCAGTTCCAACTCAATACAATTTTCGATTTAACTTTATCAAAACGCGTTTTCTTCAGTTGAAACCTACTTTACATTCACTAATGACTTATCATTGCATACGCAGATTAAATCTAAATTTACTATAATAAAGTTAAACCTCTGAATAGCGGACATTCAAAAATTTCATCAAAAAATAATTGTGCCTTAGTTTTGTTTTTCTTTGTGTCCACTGAACTGTAAATAAATGAGACATTCGGTTGTGAAAATGCCCTCCTTGCAACAAACAAAAATTACATATTCTAATTAAATTAAAATGATTAAAGAACTAGAGTTCCATACCTTCTATATATTTAAATCTGTACCCATAGTGTCGAAACTTATTTTGAAACTGTTATTTTATCAATAAAAAGCTGTCCTAGGATAATGGAGACGGATACAGCCACTGTTATAGATAAGAAGTTGGGGAGGTAGTAGAGAGAAAGTTGAATGTACCTATAACTGTACGCAATGATTAACCATTGCTAACGAAAAAACGATTGTGAGCGGAGTTCGGTTGACAGTGTTGCTTTTTCAATAATATATATGTCATATTATGGCAAAACAACACATATGCCTACATACTATGCACTATATATTTTCTTTAATAATATTTGTTTAATATTGTACTTATTTAACCGTTTTTCATACGTTTTTCCCGGTGTTACCGTGTTTTTCGCCGGTTTTTCGCATTTATTTAATTTCCCAAAATTAACACTTTTCGATGTCTTTTTTTTAGCAGTATTTTTAAATTAAGATTAAAATAGGTAGTTGCTATACAGTGTTTTTCCCGTTGAAAAGTAGTGATAATATCCCCCGTTCCCAAATAAAACGTCCCCAATTGGGAGGTGTGTATTAGGAGAGATTCCACTGTACATCATTATTGTCTACAGCATAACAGTAAGTAAATTCATCAAGAGCAACTAACGCCACCACCAAGGTGCTTTTACTCAGCTCACATAGTAACATGCCAAGAAAATTTCCTTTTCAAAACTAATCGACACTGAAAATAGGCGCAGTTCTTCGGGTCTGCTACTTCAATATCGAAGGAATATCTAATCCGTAGTGTACACATAATATGGCTATAACTTATTGATATGAAAATTTTTTTTAGAAAAAAACTACATTGGTACAGCCCGCGCTGTTTAAAATTTGTAATTCGTGTTCGAACTCTGATTTTCACCTGAACGCCGCGGTTCAAGTTCTGAGTACAAGAGAATTAACAGTGTTACAGACAAACAGATCCGGTCGTCTCATAACAAATAAGGAGATAATATTATACAATACCGCGTGGTTCATACCTGACTCTCTACATGGCATGGGCACATATTTCGATCGCGTACCTACTTATATTTTGCTACGCCGTCGCTAGATTTACACGACGCGCTTCCCATCGCACCGCAAGTCGGCAAAAGTACACACACACGTGCGTGTACGTTAAGCGTATTTTTTACCATTTCCACATATTATAATGACGTGTATACCTGCGCACAAACCGTTATCCGCAGCGGAATCGTGATTATAAACCGTCGTCGTACACGACAATATATTGTATGATACTCAATTACCGAAGAAATACTTGCGGCGAATTATGTGTCACCGTGCTGCGGAGAAAAAACCCATTGGATTTTTTTCCAAGTTTTTTTTTCCACCGATTTTTTACGGCCCCGATTTGTTCGATCCGTTTCGGTCCGATTTCCCGATCGTTTTCGAAAACGCGTGTAACCCACGGTCGGCGGCGGCGTCCATGTGTTATTAATGTAGTCATATAGAAACGGCGAAAACGGCCAAAACCCGCGCGTCCCTAGCCCCGACGGGGTTTCCTGCCCCGGTATAGTATTAATACGAAGACGACGGCGCCGCCGCTAAACTTTTATGTCCGTCGTAAACGTGTATATTATATACATACATAAACTACTTACCTTTAGATATTATAATTATGCGCGCCGGGTCAGATGTATATAGACGTAAACTGTACCTAACCGTGATATCTGCAAAAATAAGATTAAAACTCGTTTCCGCGCATTGAATAAACACACGACGCGAAGACTTCATTACGCCAAGACGGGGGTTTTTTTTTTTTTTTTTATATAACGACCGACGCCAAAAAACTGTTGAACGACATGTTTTTGGTTAGATATATTATTTATGATTATACCGTCGTCAGTTCCGTTACAAGAATTCATGCTCCGTGGTAAGTCAACAATTTGATTTATTTATATTTTTTTTTTTTCTAATGGATAAACCGTTTTATTTTACACAGTTTGCTATTAATGCGATTCAATTTTTACGGTATGTTAACGCGATCGTATTACATATCTTTGATATTAAACTCATGTCATTTTCCTAAATATCATCAATTTAAATTTTAAAAATTAGTTCTTTTGGAAATGACTTCGAATTGTTGATAAGCTACTCCTGTTAAATTTAAAAATGACTTACGAGATTACGGGATTAGATTAGTCGCCAACTCGTTAATGCCGAAAATCGTAAAAATCTTGGATTGAAAAGACAAGGAGGAAAAAACGGCTATATATTATCTGAAGTTTATCGAGCTCCGTTCAGAAAAGTTGTTTGGTTTCAATGATTGCTTTCAGTCAATGTTTTAAAGCAGTTCAATAAAAGAATTCAAATACTTTTCAAACACTCAGATATGTATTTTAAATATTTTCTCAAAGTATTTGTATTTGAAATCAAAAAATTAATTTTTAAATCCTTTTTTTTTTCAATTTATACATTTTTTATTTTCAATTCAATCACTTTAAATAAAAAATTGAGAAATGGATGTATGGTTTAAGTCAGAAAATATATATTTTAAATTATCATCTACCGACAGCTTCTAATAGGCTATGAGATTATGAGAAAAATTCATTTTTTTTTTAGGGGGCATAGTGAACACCGTAAAACTATAGTAAATTGATTTAGAAGAGAAGAAAAATGTTATTTAAACAATTTGGAAGTACCTATAAATACTTTTTTGAAGTTTCTGTATTTTTACTCAAATCTATTTTCATTAAATATTAAAATATGTATGTTAAATACTTGTAAAACTAAGTATCTGTATCTCTAGTTAAATACTTTTAAAAAGTAAATATCTTATACAAGACTACTTTTAGTATACCTATTATAAACTAAATCACCCTATATCCGCAATACCCTTCAAACTTCTCCGCTACGACAATGGTCTGTGGAAATGTGTATGATTGCCAAAAACGATATTTCAAACAAGAATAATTATGATCACGATCATGTGCTGCAGAAAAACGACAGGTACCGAATACGTGGTGGCGCTTTTGTGCAGCAATCAGAACAAATATACGATATAAAAGAAAATTATAAAGGGAAATAAAAAAGACAACAATATATTATTGTTATGCAGGATGGCAAAGAAAAAACAAAAAAAAAAAAAAAAACCGTCACAAACAATTAATCCGACCGAACCGCACGGCGAGACATCGTCGATTGATCGTAAAACAATAATAATAATAATATTATTATAATGTGATTATTGTGTGTTATAAATGATTGTTTATTTAAAACCGTGCACTGCAGTTGACATCCGCATTATTGTCGGGTTTTTTTTTTTTTTTTTTTTTTTTTTTTCCAAAGATCGGGGACGGGTCGATAATAAATATATCCGCAGACTTTCAACATCAGCTACAATAGTGGCACAAAATGGCAATGTAATTAAGGTTACCTTAGATTATAGTTTTACCGTGCGGTACTATTTTGAACGTTCCGCACGTCATTGTTTAACATGCAAACAAAAAAAAGCCTGACATATTTCGGCACTACGGGTAGGTCATCACTGTAATAAAATCGGAAAGGTATTAGGGTGATTTCGTTTATATAATATAAGAACCATACTAAAAACAAATATAAATCGTCGCAATAATTAATAAAAACGGTTCTGAACGTTAAACTAATAAGGTTACCTGCAGATTACCGTATTACAGGTTGTATTTTCGATAGTCATTTATCATAGGTCATCGACTTCAGGGGAGGTTTACAGTGATGATCTCTACATTCAGAACCTAAACAAGGTTATACAATTTTGAAAATCTAAACGAAATGTTTTCTTCGGCAAGTAGAAAAAGTTAAGGGAAAAGATACCTAGTTAATTCTGGTTTCTGTATTTATGGTTATTTTAGATTCTGAGTGGAGCGAAGAAGCTTATTGTTTTACAAAGATGTTTACTTTTAGATTTTGAGTGGAACGACGAATGTAATGGTTTTATAATGATGTTTATTTTTTTTTTTATATGTGAATACTTTTTCCACCATAATAGTCTGATTATTAAGTGTAGCACCTTTTCTGAAAGGAAATGTTCTCTGGGTAGTACTTTGAGAAATAATTGTTTGCAATTTTCATTAATATTCGAGATAATGAGGAAAACCTGGTTCTTTAGTTTAAAAAAAGATTAAAAATAAAGTTATCATTGACAATCGTTTTAATTATTTTAAATCTTTTTTATATAGTCATTGTATTCATGGAAACGCACATTGTTGTAATCATTTTACCATAATATGACATATATATTGATGACAAAGCAACACTATCAACTGATTTCCTCTCGTTTTTTTGTTAGTAATGGATTATTGTTGTTGCTTAAAGATATGCATTAAATTCCCTTCTGTACCCTACCTTCACAATTTCCGACTTCTAAATGTGGCTGCACTCATGTGCGAAGTATGTTAATTCGTTTTTTTTTTATTTTTTTTTTTTTTTTTTTTTTTTTTATGTGAACAACTTTTCTACCAGAGACCCAGAGATTTTTAAGTGTAGCACCTTTTCTAAAAGAAAATTGATGTGGAGTGGTACTTTAAGCAGGTCATTTTTCGATTTTCCCAGAAGTTTTCTCAACAAATGTGAAAAACGTAGGAAAAACGGGAAATTTGGTACATTAAACAAATATTATGAAAGAAAATATATAATGTCTAGTTAATTATTTTAGCATAATATAATATATATATATATTGTTGACAAAGAATTACTATGAACTGAATTCTGCTCAGAATCGTTTTTTTCGTAAGCAATGGTTTATTGTTGCTTATAAGTTTACATTAAGTAATCTATAACTGTGTTTGCACCCGTTCCCATTATCCTAAGACGTTTTTTTCATTCCTAAAACCTTCAATTACGTATATTTGTGGAGAGCGAGTCTTCTTGTGTCCCCCCCCCCTAACTTTAAATGGCTGCGCATGAGTTGATTCCCAGGTACCTGTTAACCTGTACACTGATACCGTTTGAATGATTCCACAGTTACTATGGGTTACGTACGAGTTGGTTCCATTGTTATTCTATATCAGTAAGCCTTCCTTTTTTCAAGCCCAACAGAAGTTATCGATTGCTTTACAGATGAGTTGATGGCACTTTGATCAACCGATGATGAAAGAATTGTAGAATTTATGGACTACGTAATTGATAATTATATTTCCCCAGAAGCAAGTTTTAAGCATATTTTGGGTAACGCTTGTAGGCTGAAGTATTCATTCAACATATTATAAAATGCATTTATCTTATTACTGATAAACAACANTTATAAACAGAACTTCGAATAGCTGTGAGAGTTATCATTCGAAACAGTTTTTTTATAGTGGGCATCCAAACATTTTTCAATTTATAGATAAGCTGTTAGAAGTTTAGTCGGAAACGTATATTAAATGCAGGAGCAACAGGACTAGAAAAGGCTGACCGAGAAAAAGAAGTTTTTAGGAGAGAAGTGATGCAAAAGAATACTGGTAATCTCATTACCAGATATCAGTTTTTAATATCTTGGGTAACGCTTATAGGCTGAAGTATTCATTCAACATATTACAAAATGCATTTATCTTATTACTGATAAACAACAATAAGGAAATCAACTCATAATACATACCTCTTAATAACCCGGGAATCAACTCAACAACACCGTTTTAAATTACTTGACGTGGAATGTAACTTTTTTTTTTCATTTTTTTATAATAGGTGCAATACATCTCTGTGGGAATCGTTACCATGGTTACGGATTTATCAATCGCTGATCACAGTGTCCTACTTTCGTGTAGACGTTTTGTCAAGTTAGATTCAGCGTTTTGCTTATTTTAATTTCAATCCCTCTCCCCCGTCCTCGTTGTTATTTTCTCAAGGACGCGTTCACGGAAGTGTGTCACGACGTGTAAGCTCGAGGAAAATCGTACAAAAGAAAATATATTATCTATGTATACCTACGTCTACACACGCACAATTATAACGATTCATTTTTGTCAGATTGACAGATCTATATGCCCATGAACAATTTTTTTTAAAAACCATATGCTCCGCGTTAGTCTGACTTATATCTGGAAAATGATCCACGAAATAATGTTGGGTACTCAATATGTATAAAATTCTGAACAAAGCGAGAAATTATTGGTTTTACTGATTTACTGATGTTTATTTTTATTATGTATATAATATGTATACATATTTGTATCTGTAAACAATTTTTCTATCAGAAATGTTGGGCCAATTACTTTATTAGTAACGCTCGGAATCTAAAAAAAAAAAAAAACACACAAACACATTTTATTCTCTGTCTTTTTTAATATTGTAATATTATATTTTTCAAAATCTAAAAACTACAATATAATAACAAAATTAATGTATGATTATTGTTTTCTGAACACCCGGAATCTTTAGCTTTTATCCGAATTTGCTTTTTGTTCTTGAAAATCTATCAATGGTGATCTGTCGTTGATAAAGAAAAGGTACATAAATATAATATATAACTACAATAACACGTCCAAAAGATGGAATGACTGAAGCCTTCAGGCGTCCCATTGTTTTCAGTGGCGTACGTTCAAAATGCAATTGTGGTAGCGAATTGAATGACGGCCAGTATACCTAAACTTCCTTACTCCTCAAATCGCTCCAAATCACATTATAAATTACAGAATTATAGTTTAGCTACGATATTTTTTAATTATGTTTTTATGTAATTGATTTCGCTATGATTTCTAACATAAATTGTGAATATATTTAGGTCATCTAGACAACTTGAGCTTTCAGAAAAGTTACTACACGTACAAATCGGAGCAAGTTTACCAGGAAAGGACGTATCCACAGACTAGAACAAGGAAGAAAAAATAAACAACATTGTAAAACCAATAGATTCCTTTCTACGCTCGGAATCTAAAAGTGATATTGAACGATTGCAATAAATCAAGTGCCCGGGTTTGAAATATCAGATCATTGAGTTTCTTTAAAAATGATTAATTTTTTTTATGCGCAATTTTAATATCTATTTTTTCTTACTGTACATTACTATATTACAATATTATTACTTTTGCGCCAAAATCTATTTAAAAATATATCGTTCATTATTAAATATTAACTATGTATATCGTGTATGATGAATCTATTTTGTTTTATTTCCTAACAACGTACATAGTACATTAATAAACATTGTATTATGAACACATTTACCTATAAATCTATTCTTAATATTATTCTCTCAAACGGTATGTTTGGTGGAATAAATAGTCGCAATAACAATGGTGTATAATTATTCGTCCGAACAGATCATATTTTGGTCGATTTGTTCAAACGGTATACGCCCATAGTCATCTCGTAAAAAAACTTGTTCCTATGTGTATACCAGATAATCCGTTACAATATTCGCATTAGCAGCTACGATCACCGAAACTCGGCCCGTCACACTTTAATTGAAAATCGTTGTACATACTACATATGCTCGAATAGAATATTAGACGATCGACAACAACACTTTTATTAATTATTCGTGTGAATGTTTTTCGGTATGCAGGTATGCTATTTTTAATGATCGAACCAAAAATTTGGGAAAATCGTCGAATGGCTAACGAAAATATTACAAAACAGCAAAATGACAGATCTCTACGATTATTTTTAACCGGATTACAACAAAGGAGCAAATTAAAAAAAGCTGTCCTAGGATAATAGGAACGGGTGCAACCACTGTAGTTGGTTAGAAGTTGGGAAGGTAGGATATAGAGGGGAAATTAATTTGCATCTGTAACCAACGATAAACCATTGGTTACTGAAAACGATTCTCAACGAAGTTCGGTTGATAATGATGCTTTGTCAACAATATATACCTGTGTCATATAATGGTTAAATAATTAAATAAGCATTATATATTTTCTTTAAAATATTTATTTAATATTGATCCGATTTTCCCGTTTTTCCCACGTTTTTCCCGGTTTTTAACGGTTTTTCACATTGTAGGAAAGAACTCCTGAGAAAATCGAAAAATTACCTCCTTAAAGTACCGCCATAAGAAAATTTCCTTTCAGAAAAAGGTCTACATCGTACACATCGGAGTAAGCTTTCTAGTAGAAAAAGTGTTCACATAAAAAAAATAAGCATCTTTGTAAAACCAATACATTCTTCGCTACACCCAGAATTTAAAATAATGAATTTGTTATTGCCGTTAATTTATGTTCAGTTTTCATGCATATTATTTTTTCCAATTTTTCTTAATCATTATGAAAACTTCTTAGAAAATCATAAAATGCAGTAACTAAATTATTCAGTGTACTAGGTACAAATTTCTCTTGTAATTTTTCGATTGGAACAAGATTTTTAGTAGAAAAGTTCTTTACAAACAAAAAGCACACATTTAAAAACCTTCCCGCCCCCCCTTAATACCCTGAACATTTCAACTGCATACTTTCTGTGCACGCCTATTTCTGTTATCAATATTATTATCAAAATACTTCTAGTAGCTTAAAGGTGCTACGTTGATACATCGGAGCAAGATTTCTGGTAGAAAAGTTGGACGCCAATACAAAAAAAAAAAAAAAATACTATAATATTATCTGTATAAACTATTATTATTTGTATACTATATTATTAAACTTTATATAACTATGGACGTAATAATATTAAGTACAATATTGAATGTTGTAATTTATGTTCTGTGGTTAAAATACACTTGAATGGAAAAAAAAATTGAAAATCATAATTATTACTATAAACTTTGTTAAATTTTAGTGCTTACAATTTTACTAGTTTTTTATTATTACTATTAATATTATTAGTACTTTTTAACAACTGTACATACACTAAGTTCTAAAATAATTATTACAATGTGTCGTTGAAACCGTACGCATATTCCCATGGAAACAGCTACCGAGTAAACTTTAATTTATTATTATTATACCAATCGTGCAGTGTACTTATTATTAGTAAAAACAGGAAACGTTTCGAAATGTGTTTATGTGTGCGAAAGGGACGAGAAAAGATCGAGGTCTCCCAAGCTACTAATGTGCAGCTATTAGTTTATTCGCTGGCATAGATGTTACGGTTTACAAAAACAGTTAAATCGACGGC